TAAGAATTCGCCAAAAAAAATTATTAATTTGCTCAAACTAAATTCTGCAAAAATAAAATAATTCTTCATTCCTCGATTTAACTGTGAAGGTATAAGTCGCTAAGCTGTGGCCAACAGACACCTGACAATAATTCAAGGACTATTGTGCTGGACGAGGCTGGATGTGTTTATCCAGAGCAAATAGGAGCCAAGTATGGACGCAAAACATTTCACTACTAAAGTATACGTGGGATTTCCACTGTTGGTAACATCTGTGGGCTCTTGGAAAATGTATATGTAGATTTTAGTTAAAGAAATTAAACTTTTGTTTCTTTTGTGATTTATGGAGTCATACTGTACAAAAGACATTTCTCAGTTCTCAATACTTCTAGTCATGGTTGCACCATTTCCATAGAGGTGCAGGACTTCATATTGCAGGTAAAAATGAGCCCACAGTGAGTGAAAATGTGCAAAAGACGCCCAGACTCTGCTTGGGGTCCACTAGGTCAATAGGTGAAGGCAGTAGAGGGTCACAGGTTTCATTGAGGGTGGTCTTTTCACACTGAGCATGCAAAGTATAAGTTCACGATCTCAAACGCGAGTACCGCAGCCTTATTTTACGCAAGCTTTGGAGAAACTCCAGTGCAAAAGGAAAAAAAAAGATATCCAAACTCCCAAATCAGAGCTATAATCAATCTAATTGCGTTGCTCTAAGAGGGGTGAACAACTATCATTAGCTGCAGGCTGCTAATGGTGCTGTTGTTGGCTCCGGTCGGCCCACATTCACCAGCCAACTCTGTCTTTACTGTTCAGCCAACTCTCTCACATTACAGCCAGTGTTATGCTGCTGCTGGTAGCCTCCTGCCAGAGGGTGATGGGGCACAGAGAGGGTAGCAAACTGCTAAACAGCACACATTACACAAATGAAACAAAGGGGTTTAGCAAGCAACCTCCACAGTGTGACAAATGAAGCAGCTGAAGTCTGCTGACATAGTGGGGGCCATGCAGGAAAGAAGCACAAACAAATTAGTTCACAGTAACAACAGGGAACAACTGCCCTCAAGTCAGAGTCTGGCATTACTATTGATGAACCTGATAAATGAGAAACAGCAGTGGAGATGGTAATATTCACTGTGGTGATTTAAAGTGTTGCTCACGATGGAACCAGGCTGATGGTGTATTAGTCACTGCTCGAACCACTTGATGTTTATTCCAACTTTTAATGCATCTAGACTTAACTTATTAAAACCTCCATTCCTGCCAGAGAAGTAATGTTTTCTGGCACAAAAAAAACGGTGGCGGCAAATGAGCAGAGTTAATCGACTCCTGCTCTGCAACAAAAAAAGTTCTTCCAGAAAGAAGAAATTGACTCTCCGGAGGGTTGAAACTTCCTTCTCACTTTTCTGAACTTTTCTATAGATACAAAGGCTGTGGTCATGCTGATTTCTCAGGGGGGCTGCCAAAGAAAACTGGGTGATATTCTGCTCCAAAGAACCCTTCCAGTGTCAATTAATGCCAACATCAGCACCTTCCCCAAACAGTAAATGGGCCAGAAGTGTGTGGGCCAAAAGGAGAAGGACTAAACTCATGAGCCAAGATTCCTTATACAGGCAAATGTCTCTCATCTCCGAAATTCTGTCTTTCTGAAATATAAGAAAGACACTAAAACAAAGAAAATAGAAAATTGCAGCTCTTGATGTGACGTTTAAATAAATTAATCTTTTTATCATCTGCATCCTGCCTCCATTGTTCCATTATCTGCTGAAAAGAAGCCAAATTTTAGCAGATTTCAGGAGTGAAATACACTTTTTTAAATCATTTGGTGACTAGTTGGGGGTAAAATGGTCATGAAAGGTGAAGGACAGAGGATGTATGAGGTTGGGGGGGCAAGAGATTGTTGGATATACATGAATTCGACAGTATGCGTGCGAAACAGCCAGACTGGAAAGCACTCAAAGCCCCGCAAAATCTGCACGGGTCTGTAATCTTTGGTTCTGCAGGGATTAACACCCCCGTACACGACACTCTCTCTTCTGTTGATGAGTTCCCGACCCACAGATTACACAAAGATATGTAATTTTGTTATTTCATCATTATTATGGTTTTCACTGTGGCTACTGTTGGCAAGATCCCACGCATCTGCTTTACATTATATTTCCCATGAGCATGCATTTTTCAGGGGGGAAAAAAAAAACAAAAAATCCTAAAACAAAGGGAATAAATTACAAAGCGAGCGAACAAAAATTAAAAGCCTCAGGCACGTTTGTATTTCTGTTGGTTAAAATATGAAACTGTGTGAACTGGCAATGCGGTAATTTTCACTAGATACAGACGTTTAGACTAGACGCCAGAACCACCGGCAGTCATAAATGTAAATAGCAGCACTCCAGAGAGACTCACTGAGAAATTATTCAGGGTGAAGTGGTCAAGGCTGCACCACTTGTTAGCTCAGAAATGCATCTCCTGTAAGCAGGACTTTGGGAAAAGAAAGGTAAGAAGGAACAAAACCTGACGTAGGCTTCGTCTGAGGTAAAGCCACGTATAATTATGCCTGAAATGATTCATACTCAAGTCAAACTTGGATTAATAGTGAGATTTTATTGACCCTACAGGTTTCTTCTGCCTGGAAATGTCATAAAGAAGGTACAAAGGACAGATGGATGCTGTGTTAGAGACATTAATAACACATTCTTATATATATTTGTCTTATTATCTTGTTTTATTTTTTTATTAATATTTATTGTATTTTATTCTTTTCTTTCTTTAGTTATTTTACTTTATTTTATTTTTCAATTTTCCTACTTCTATTATTCATGCAAATTCCGAGGGCGACACCAACAGCCGAAACCAAATTCCTTGTATGTTGTGTA